GCACCTGTTAGAGCGCTTTTGTGTTCATTGTTATAAAGTGATATAAATCATTAGTGTACAGACAGATTTCAGTGGATGGTACGCACATACAAACAACTCAATGAGGCATATGCACAGAGGTTGCCGCAACTGGACAAAAGAGAAATTATTAACAATGGTGTACAGGGTGTCTACATATATTAGATTGATCAAATTACTTAGGGTGTAAAAGATTGAAAGGAACGAGGGTATATGACTGCGAACATCATACTATATACGCCAAACGAAAAGGTGGGAGCCGGTGAAGCATCTGAAGACGGTGTGAGTAGCATATAGCGAGAAGAAATTAGAAAAACGTTAAACTCCCATTTCAACGCTTTCCTTTTCGCAGCTTTGTCTACCTCACGGCTCTCATGTCCAGATGGAAGTAGAAAAGGGGGAAACAAACACAGCTCACAGTTGAACCCTTCCGAAACCAGCCACTATCTATACTCACTAGGTCTTGTCATAATGAATGTGATTATATTGTCTTTGTGTTAGAGATTTGATAGGAACGAGTATCTCTTCGGTACTCGCGCAGACTGGCCGGATAAGAGCCATAAACATTCATCATGAGACGTCCGCAGCTAGGAAAGAACAGCAGTATCTCTACAGAACATGGGCAAGCCGAGTGAAATTCCTTTGCGGATTTGGAAATTGTCCGAAATACTTACCAATCTTCTTGTGGTATTATTATGATTGTTCCTGAGCTCCGTCGCTGTGGTACAGGTATAAAAATCTTTAAATTCTTCAATTCAGATTCCGAACTGTATTCACTCCAACAGCACTTTAAACAGCAGGTGGAAGCAAAATGAATGACTGTTATTTTCGCAAATGATGCAATTCTGGCACCACACGCAACGCATTTTGCTTCAAGCATCAACCGATGTACAACATCGCTGGGTTGGCTATCATACCGGAACCAGTGAACTACACATTCGACTCACCGATAAGTTCGGATCACATAATGTTTGATACCTCACCAAATTACTCAATTAGTGCTCCAGTTACTTCCTTAGCAGTCGTTTAAACCAATTGGTTTGTAGTAAGATTTATGGTGATCTTTTGCTTAAATCTTGGTTCTATTGTCCAAGCCGGGTGCTAGGAAAATTAATATTCAAGTGCTTTATAAAACATTTGAAAACAAGCGGAGTTCGCATCAGCCACGAGACATCGAATGGCCCAACAAATCGGTGATTACTCATCGCTTCTGGTTTAAGCTCTCCGAATTAGTAAATGACAACTAAATAGAAATCCCTGCTTGTTAGTCCTACTGCGTTCCTTCGTGACGGAGGGTCGGCGGATGCAATGTTACTCACATATATAGCTGACGATAGCTCCGAACCTACGGCTGTTATCACAAAACACCCAGCTAGTCATCAAATGGTCAGTAATCCACCTCAAGTATATTGGCATCTTAAAAGAACGTTGGGCAAAATCTGGTGATTGATTTGAATAAAGGAAATCACTGAGCCATCTCCTAATTAGTGCCTCTTGTTCTGCTTTACAAATATGTGGACGATGAAATACATGTACGAAGTGGTTTTACATGTGTGCAACCTTTCCGGAAAGTTTGCTAAAGGAGGTATTACTTCTCTGAACGTTAAACATTCAGTTCACTATCGATGGCGAACGAAACCGTCAGATGGATGGACTATCCATGGGATCTCCTTTGGGGCGCCTACTGGCTGATATCTGTATAGTAAAAATTGAGCATGGCCCAATAATGGCGCACATCAGTGAGACTGAGATGTGCATATATCAGTTGGATGACACCTTAGTAAATTGCAAATCGGAAAAGAAGGCGGCAGAGTAGCTGAAAGCTTCTAATGATCCGCATGTGGAGCTCAACTTCACCTACGATCGGTTATCTTTACTGGATGTGAATGTTGTCCGTAACTTTGACGGATCATGTAGTAGATATGTGCGCGGAAAGCGCACGTGGAGTGGGTAATACACCAATTGCCACAGAGCAATATCACTACAGTATAAGTTTATTCCGATTTCTCGTCTTCAGAATGTGCAGTATTTACACACCGAATACCATTAATGAAGAAGTAGCGAAGATCAGTGAAGCGCTGAAAGAGCATTTTTACCCCGACAAAGTTTTCCTAAAGCATTTGAGGGAACGTAAACAAAGTAACCTAGGAGCAGCGCTCCTAAGAAAGCTGTTCACGTACTTATCAATCGGTTGTGTAAAGATGAAGTTGAGAAGACTTATTTTGTGACCGGTTTGAAGATTGTTTACAACAGTAAGATATTGCTTGGAAAACCCTTGAACGAAAGAGTGTCCACGTTGAAGCTTTTAGTGCTCTTTTATCAGGATTGTTGCCTTTGTGGTGTAAAACACATGGGACAAATTATGATGTGCCCATTTCAGAGGATTCTCGAGCACATCCCAGTCTGGTTCTACAAGGGTGAGATGAGCACTTCAAACAGCTCTATTATGTTAGACCTTGATTTTGGCCATACAGCCTCTGGATATGACTTCTAAGTCATATACTCATTGCGTGAATGATGCTTGCAAGACTTTTACAAGCAGCTGCTGTCCATGGCCAGGATTGTGTTTGCAAAAGTGATTCACGATGCTTATACACCTACTGTGACCAATAGTAGACACTGTAACATAACTGTCTGAGCAATTTATTTTCGCTGCTTGTGGTTTGATGCATTAATGTTCCTGTGTTCACTCTGTCTGCCGTTGATAGCCCAAACTTAAGTAGCCAATTTGATTGTACAAACCACTTCGGAAACAATCCTCAGCCCTATTTGATGCCAACAACACTTGATCCTTGCTACGTAAATGTTTGGGTCTGATGAGAGTTTATCTGAAAGAATTGCTTAACCTAGCACTAATTTCTGGTCATATGTTTTGTTACACACAAATAACTGATAATGCACATGATAAGGTGGAATTGTATCTGTTAAACTGCTGTCACCAAACAATCTCTAAATGTAGAATGTCATAAAAACAAGCCATGGAAACTAGGTCAGGTTACTGCTTAACCATCCGACTGCAGCGTAAAATTATCCTCGGTCGATGGCGCACCTGCTCACTGTACTTTCCCATACTCAAAACAAAATGAACATTTAGGATTTCTATAAATTAGTTAACTATTTTCACCCCACCCACTTGTACGCATGAAGTTACTAGAGATTACCAGGTGTGCTCTGAGCGGCCTGTTTCAAAGGAGGACGGGTTTCGAGAAAATCGGACTTGTGCTCATGTAAACACTTCTGTACCCAGGTGAATAATTTAAATCATCTCAAATTCCAAACGACAATAAGGTGCACCTGTATTGCTGACCTTATGACTAGGGTTAAGGCCACGATGCATTTCCGGTGATCTTGAGCGTGCGACAACCCGTTCACAATTCACGCTACAAATCGCTGACCGAGAAGATAAATGCTATTCCGCGCTAGCATTGCTGGTGTGTATCGTGTACCTACGTGGATCGTTCAAGTCAACCAGGGACCATTTCTGAATTCAAACTGAAATCTTATGTTGGAAGTAATAGATGCTATTGTTGACGCTCCCAGAAAGCTTCGCCTGGAACAATGTTCAGTACAAAAATATTCAAGATGGCGGACAACAGGGTGACCATCGTCCTAAGAAAAAATAGCGGAAAAGCACCTGAAATCTACAGGTGTCTTAAGCCATAGTCTGGTGATAGCATAACCAGCCACCGAAAAACATTTGTGTAGCACATGCGCTTCAGATCTGGTCACATGTTTGTAAATGACCACCAGGGTCGAAAATGGTCCCAGCCCACAGCTGTCATTTGTTGGACGATTAGGCGAATCTCGGACAGTACTGTATCACTGACAATCGTTGCGTTGTCTTTCTTGAAAGTACAAATGCACTCAGTCCTACGTTAGGAAGAGTAAGAACGGTAAGTTAAGCTCATTTGCAAATCCGAAAATTGACAGGCACATGAGTTCCAAAGCGACTGTTCCCTGTCCACTGGCAAAGTTGTGTTAAATCGTGCAATGAATCGAAGTTTCGTTATAACACTTAGGGTCAAAGTTCCCTAGATCGCATCGTCACATCCCCAACAAAATTTATCTTGTCTTAGTAATCAGTGACTTTCATATGTTCAGACCACTAAATAAATTCCTCGGAGGTCGATAGGTTCCCAGGGATGATGAGGCGGAGCGACTTGTTCCAAACTGATTCAAAAGTACCTACAAGCGTGTATACTAGGGCTTTACAAGCATCATAGACCTGCTTGGATAAGTGTACAATGGAACAGTGGTATTATAACAAGTTAGTGGAATCGAAATCTTGAAAGATAGTGGGAACTGACCGAGAAGTCATAAGTTCAGACAGGTGGGGAAAAAGTCAGCCGAGCGCCGATGTGTGTGTCAGATGGGAAAGTGCAACTCGGCTCCGTATTGCCACAACTATTGACCTATCTGTCAATATCATGACACATATTGGAACAGCTGGACTATTCCGAATGTGGTTGAACCGCTTGCGGCAAGATTCCGCACTGTGGCTGCATTCACATATTGACTTATGTCTCTGCTATCGTGATTATCGTCCCTGCCACTCCAATTGCGTACTAATTCGCCTGGCCCGATGAAGCTTGTGTGCCAAGAGCGAAATGTTACCCAACAAACACACCAACTGATTGTTTCCAAACCTCATTGAACTCATTACCAAATGGAATCCATTAAAATAGAAAAGCATTTGGAACTTCCGAAGTTTGCAAAATTGTAACTGAATTAAGCTAATGAGTGAATCGTGTGCCTCTCAAAAGGTTAGGAAAATAATATTATTGAGAGCATTAGCTCACAATTTATTGGGCTCGTGGATCCATAAGTAACCCTCCATCAGACTTGTTCTGGGAACAGTTGTTTCCAAACGGTTCTAGTCAATTACAAAGATGCATCGCAGAAATTGCTTACAGTACATTACAAATAACAGCCGTCGTTATTGTTCTAATAATATAAACCAAAGGATAGCGGGCTGTAGTTACCTTGTAGGAGCGCTTTTCTTTAACCGTCTTGAAACTGTAGTAGGTCTCGCAGATGGCGAGGTTCCCTTATTCTCCGTGTCATGTTTACTCGCAGCCTGACTGGAATCGCGTGGCTTGTTCTGATCGGTTTTCACTTTCATCGGTCTCTGTTCTCTCCGTTTCACCCTTTCCGACATTCCATTGTATGTAACAGCTTCGGATCTTGATCCCGATGACTGAGGTTCAATCGAGGATCCAGAAACCAAACTACTGCTTGTTACAGCGACACTACCGCATTTACCATCCTCGACGGTTGTGCCTGGACCGGTTGGACGGTGAGGCATTTGTCTGTCATTCGGTTCGTGAGTGAGGCGAGGGTGAGAGGGAGGAACGTGACCTAGACGGGAGTGGAAGTGGGGGGAATCCAGTAGGAACGAACTGGAGTTCGTCATGTCCGACGTCCGATATCCACGTTCGATTACCTGAAAGAAACGAAATCGGTAGCGCATCCATGTTCAGAGACCTGAGACGAGGCAGAACTAAAACTGAATTGAGCTCTGTCATTACTTCTATTATGAAAGAAAAAGTATTTGCGATCTGAAAGTAGGAAACTCTACTTACTACGCTTGCATTTCAATACCCATGCAAATTCAGAACGGTCAACTCAAGTCGGCTATTAAACTATAATCACAGAGTAGCAGGGAATACAATCCTCATTGCTCGAAGCGCCATAAATATAAAATGGGGAATTGATGTGGATAAATGTTGAAAGAGAAAAGCGAAGAGTGATGCGCGAAGCGCAGCCGGCAACGCTTTAGCTGCAACATAAAATGTAGGTTAAGAGCATCGTACAAGAATGACTACCGTAAGACACGACAGACCTAGTGGAAATGTTGCGAGCGAAGCTGGACGATGTAGGGGTTAGGTTGCCTTCCGGTTCCCCCTATTCTTCCATTACTGGTTTAGGTTCCGCTGCCTTTACTTAAATAATGCAACCTTGTGCGAACTCTGTGATAGGATGCAGATTTGGGGTCAGGGAACGAATAACAGTTGTCGTCCGGACTGACCAAATGTTAGACCAGTATAAATCATAGTCTAGTTAACAGGTCTGTATTACGTTAAATTCGAACAGCACAATCGTCATTTTACTATACTGAAAATGGTTACCAAAATAGATCGCAGATGCAGCGGTTCAAACATCTGTCGGTTGAGTTTACATCCCAGATCCTAGTCCACGTTCGGCTGCTTCTGCGTGGAAAGTGTAAACAATCAAGTAACCTGTCACGTAGTGTAGTTCAGGTTCCCGGAAACGATTGACACCCAATCATTTCAGCTACCGTACCATTAACTAGAAAGGCAAACATTTCAACGCAAACATTCAATACGTTTCGCAAATTTCCACAGAATGCAAATATTTGAACAAACTAATCCCAGCATGCTTACGCACATTGATCGCGAGCATTATAGTTACGCTCGAACGTAAACCGTTGCTTGCAGCATGCGGTTTCAACTTTACAGCACATGGAGATGTGCAATACCATTCAACTCTCCCTAATACTCTTTTGTAATCAGTACGCAGACCAAACTGCTTATATTGCCCTGGGTTAACTGGTGGCTTAAGTTTAGTAAGCTCGTCGCTTGGTGAGGGGCTACGCTGCCCTTTGCACGGCAGTAACGTGCAAGTCAGTGGATAGTGAGCGACGCTATATCAAATCTAGTAACTTACGATGGTCGTTGCCGTCCCCCGTAGCTCAGTGGTCTCAACCGCGGACTGGCAACAGTCGAGTTGCAGGTTCGAGCCCTACCAAGGGTCCGATGGAATGCGCACTGCTGATGATACCCGAAAGGATGAAACGCGCATACCGTGTTTTTCCGGGAGTGTGATGGCTGTCTGAGTGAGCCTAGCTGTGACGAATTTCTATCTATACCATTCAACTCCCCTACTACTCTTCTGTAATTTACGGAATGCTAGAGTTCCTTGTGTGTTGCCTTCGTCAGGTAAGACGGATTGCAACTTAAGACAATGTGAAACTCATTACAAGGATCCTGTTGTAGTCACGCAAAACAATCGAAGGGACGTAGTCGGAGGTGGGGTAAGTGCAAAACAATAAGACGTGTCACGACTGTCATCCGCCGTCAGGCTTGGCCTAATGATAGTGTTATTCTCACATCCAGCGCTACTTTTGTGCGTTCAAACGTTAATCTTTCTGGAGTATGATATTATCAATTTTACGTTAAAACCATCTTACGTTCCAAGCCGATTATTAAAAACTTTCCGTGTTTGCAATGCATTAAGCTTCGATCTTTAAAAGTGTTGAAGTACTTCGGGGGATAGCTGAATAGCAACTTTCCTGCGTGCATAAAATACTCTCTTGAGTTGAAAACGGAGTTGAATTGAGCTTTAAAAAGCGCCTAAAAAAGATGACAATTACCTCCTCTTTCGACCGAACGTACACGCTTAAGTCAGCTGAAGTTAAACTGTACTCGTTTTAACCGTCTCTCTTTCATCTTATTACCATCGGTCTTATATTGCAAAAGTGACGCCGTAACTGTTGTAACCACTAAGCCGGAAATGTTAGGAATTGCAGTAAACTTGTCTCAACCATTTCCTTTGATGTAGGAAAGGCAATAACGTTTCATCCCATGGGGACGATTGATAAGCCCGACGACATCCGTCGCACTTTTGGGAGATAAAACATGCTAGTTAGACAACCGTCGTCGTCCAGTCATATGATCACCCGGAGAAAAGTGCCGCAGCGCAGTTCAGCGGCCAATGTAGAAAGCACTACTGACACTAGCATACACGACTTGGTGGCAAGTGAATACGCATCACAGATGTTAGGTCTAATTTGCACGATCAGTTCAGAGTAACCAGCAGCAGAGGAAATGGAAGATGTACAGACCATCAGCACGGATCTCAAACTAAGCCAGTAATACCTACAGTAATTAGCCGGACAAAAAAAATAATTAGACGACAGTCGTTTCTTTTCCGCGCCGATCAGGTGAAGGGCTACAACCCGAGTGTATCATTTTTGCCGCTAATGTACATCAAATCTACAGTCATGTGCTTGCCTCGAAGTGTAGTGGATACTGGAATGATTGTGCGCCGAATGGCGCATGAAAATGATCATATTCCAGTTCATAGTACTAAAAAAATGCATAACTGCCTATGCAACGGGTTCAACAACTGAATTCGCTGGAAATGCTCATGACAATGGTGAATGAGATGTAGCAACTGTAGGCGCGGCTGCTCCTATCTCCGGACCCTAAACGAATGCCTTGTAGGTGAAGGATTGATAGCCTGAAAGTCTTAGTAGAAGATGGAGTGAGTGTGAAAGAGAATTCCCAAAGCGACGACACGATTGTGCAACACTTTTCAGAGGTATATTGGCCACTTCACTTGATGTCCATGTGAGATATCTCATGTAAATCAATTGGACATTACTTTGTTCTGCCGTCTAAATCCTCCTGCTCTCCATGAGAATGGATGTTCGTGAACAGGAAGAAAATGGAGTCCCAGTTAGATTTGTTTACTTGGCAACTCAACGAAACCAACAGGCTTAGTCGATAGACGTTTTTAGTGTGTGACATCTAGTCATCAAACGCTATCTTTCGCCAGTAAAAGATTAGTGTCGGCAGATAAATAACCTGCGTTTTCGCTTTTTTCAATTTATCTGTGCGCAGGCAACCGGACGGGAAACTACGCTATGACCGTTCGACTTTGACAAATGTACTTTGTAACAGACGCAATATGCAGCGCACGTTAAAGCCTAATTGTAGATATTTGCCCGCTATAATGCGCTCGTAAATAGAGGGGCGGCGTTCATTAACCGACCACGTGCAAATCAAATCTGATCACCTTTGTAGTATCGGAACAACCAGCGATTTGGTGACCTAAGAGTTGTTGCCGTGTCCGAAACAAAAGATGTTATCTCTGTTTCACAGTGCCGTGGTCCACGCTCAGCTTGGATGCTAGAAGCGGCATGCAAAGTGAAAACCAGTGTGAATTGCGACATTGCACTGCCATGTTCGCACTATTCTGCGTCGCACCTACCTTACATGGGCAGAATGGGTGTATTGAATGGTAGTCTACCACACATCCCTTCCCTCGGGTTAGGCACGCGCGAACACGCAAGAAAGTGAGGTTCCGATATTATTCCATGTTTCAGTCCCAATGAACAATCAATCAACAGTCTATTCCAATGGTCGTGGGTTCAAATCCTGCTGTCTCCACCTGATGAGATGAAATTACATCGAAAAGCGTCGTGGCTGTGCAGTTTTCGGATGGGCAATACCCGATTTCCATCTACAATCAACAGTCTGTTTGTTGGAATCTGTCCACTCTATGAGCTGTGACCAAGCCCCAAGAAACCGAAGTCCAGTTTGCACTTAGAACCTATACTAATTTAGAAATCCGATCGAGTTTCGCTCAGTGTAGTCCAAGTAGGCCAATGCCATGTTGACGAATTGAGGCTCAAAACATATGCCACACCTCCGCGATTTTCACTGAATTATCGTGTAGTCCCTCGTTCTAGGCAGAACCGTGCCCGAGAAACTGTTAAGTAACTGTTAAAACATGAAATACTTAATTCAGTAAAGACGCTAAATTTGTCGGCGGTTGTTGCGCTTGGCGATGAAGCCTTGAAGATGATAATTTGATTTGCCATTGTAACAACACAGCGAAGTGGTAAATGCCAGCTATTTGGGAATACGAACGCACCGGAACAGGAGGTTAAACGGCACATATAAATCCATTAGTTTAATTCACAGTTTGCATCCTGCTGGTTGGAGTTAGGAATCGTTGGCTGCATGCATTTCGTGGCAGTTGCCAGGTATCAAGCAAATAAACGGGATCCGTTTATATATATATATATATATATATATATATATATATATGGTTGACGGCATCCGGTTTCAGATTTGCTTGTCACTGCGTCCAGCCACAGGACGCCTATACCTACAGAGGGACCATGGGTGGCTTGCGTTGCACCACCCACAGCTCCAACCACACACCCCATATCCAGTGCAAACCCGAAGGAATAAGACCGGCAGACACGTGGATGGGAGCCATGTTCAGTCAAAGGAGCCGGCCCACGCTCCTTCATAGGCAAACACAAGCACGCTGTAGTTGGGGAATCAAACGCACACAAGGCGGTGGCTGGACCGTAATCCGCTCCACACTGATTGCATGGAACCACCCTTCGAGTCTAGCACGGCCACAAGGCCCGTGCACCAACTCCCCTTTAGCAACGACCAAAAGTATCCTGGACCCGGTATGGACGAGGTAGTGGGTAATAGACAGGTAGGCATCTTGTCAACATGCACATCAAGCGCAGCCACACCGGGGATATCAAGCAACAGTCAACCACTTGAAACGACAAGATGAAATAAAACAAATCCAATAATGCATGCAGGTACGGTGGCGTAACTCTTCACCAAATTAGCATATGAAGTAAGTTGGTTAGCAACGAATCCGCGATAA